CATTTCTTACTTAATGGAAACACTGCAGTTGTGAAACTGTGTTTTTTCAACATTAACAGAAATTCGACAAAGTTTTGCGCATATTTGCAATGGAAACGCAGCTACTGTGTGGTACCAACAACCACTGTGTGGTTGTGGTACCAACAACCACTGTGTGGTACCAACACGCACTGTGTGGTACCAACACGCACTGTGTGGTACCAACAACTACTGTGTGGTACCAACAACCACTGTGTGGTACCTGCAGGCTTCCAAACTCTGAAAAATTTAACATCAAATCAAACCTGAACTGAAAGCCACAACAAATCAAAACAAACACAAAAACAAGGTGGGTTACATTCTGGGTGTGACTGTGGAGAAGCTCCGCCCAATCAAGTCCAGTAAGTGTGAGGGGGCGGAGTCAAAGCACGTGACAGGACATGAGTTAGTGGAGAGGTCAAAATCAAAGTCTGACCTTTCACATGCCTGGTGTGCCTGTCCCAACCTTACCAACAGGAAGTGAGAGGCACTGTGTGTGTGTGTGTGTGTGTGTGTGTGTGTGTGTGTGTGTGTGTGTGTGTGTGTGTCTGTGTGTGCGCTCCTCCATCAGATCTTCTCCAAATAAAAGCTCCACTTACAGAAAAAGAACCATCATCACACATGTTAACACTGGCTGTTGGTGCAGATGATCATTTCCCATCAGTCACCTGAGCAGGTGCTCCTGTGCTTCATGATGTGGGCGGTCCACCTGAAGCAGCAGCAATCAGCCTGGAGCTGCAGCTCAATCATGTGACTCTCTGATCAACAGCAGGGAGCAGAACTACTGCCTCCTGGGTCACCTGCCAGGTGTGACGTCTGAAACATTCACACACCTTGGTTAAAGACACAATTCATCTATTTTAGATTGTATGAAGTGATAAAGCAAGGTCAGTATCTTACCTGCAAAGGACAGTGGTCACAGAGTTCTCAGTTTGCTTTGGAAATAAATGAGATTCTTTCAGTTTGGATCCCAAAGCCATGACTGCAGCTCTGAACACCTGGTTTCTACCTGTGATGTCACCACTGAGGTGCAGAACCACCTAAACTGTTGTCAGTGCCATTAACAAAACGTAATTAAATACAATAAATTTATTCTAATGTCAGCAATTATTAGGGCAGGAGAAATGTCTGAAAGTCATTTAAGTTTATAAAGGTTTTAATCAGCCTGTATCCACTGACTGTAACAGCATTTATAAATAATGAGATCAGATGGGACTGGGTGCAGGAAACAAACAGAAAAAACTAGACGATGTGTTAGCATCAAAACAGGACAGGCCTGTATGGTTTGTTGAAAACATTTTGAAGTGAACCTGTCTACAGGGACACATTCAGATCAGAACATTTTTCTAACTCTAATCTTGTTTGATGAAGTTGTGGTTGTTTAGCAGCCTCAAACTGAGCGTGCTCAGACCACTGCTGCTGCAGGAAGCTGCTGACTTCACCTCACACACCATGACAGGTCTCAGGTCTGGGTCACATGATGAGCTTTAAGGCCTGATTGTTCCTGGTTAATGAACCAGCCTGTACTGTTGAGGAGCACCTGGAGCACCTGGTCACCTGCCAGCCTCTCTGATGTCACCTGTACCTTTAATTATTGTTAAAACACACTGAAGCAGACCTGTTGGTGGAACCTGTTCTCTGTCTGTAAACAAAGCATAGCCCGTGTGGTTTACTAATGTATTCTCAGCTGATCCGGGTCAGAACCACACATCGGATCAGGCGGTGGACTGGCAGCATACAGTAAGGTATGGCTATTTCCTGGATGGGTGGGCCCTGTTGAATACTTGCTACAGACACAGTAAGGTTTCAGTCCAGCAAATTGCCTTGCTCCTGGGCTCTGGTCAGGCTGTCTTTGCGGTGCAGGTGGTGCACGCCCATCCTCTTGGGGCTTTTCTGTGGTCGATGTTGAGTGGCGGCGGCGCAGGGGGCGGGGTCAAACTCCAGGAGGCGTGACGAGATGACGGGCAGCTCACTGGGCAGGACGTCTCGCTCTTCAGATGAGCTATCATCCTCTTCCTCTTTCCGGTGCAGGTTTGCAGGGCTGGCTGCCACAGCTACAGCTCTGCTGCCAGGGTCATGGTGGTCCAGGTCCAGCAGCTGCTGCTCCGCCTCCTCAGACCCCTCCTGGACACCGAGCCGTCCTCTCCTGCCGGGTCGAGGCTCCGTGTCTGTGTCGGTGTCCAGACTGGAGCCGCGGCTGGGTGTCCAGCTGCGTGCAGAAGATCCCTCCTCCCCATCTGAGTAGGCCACTCTGTGGTGGTCCGAGGACGTAGAAGGCCCCGCCCCTGCAGTTTGGCTCCTCCTCTGCAGCTCCTGGGCCATTTGACTGCTGAATGACGTGCGGTGCATCAGAGAGCTGTCACAGGACGGAGCCATCTTCTCCACAAACATGCGCTGCCAGTTGGCCAGCAGGTCCTCCTCAGAGCTCCCAGAGCTGGCTGGGATGCTCGGTGCCTGGAGGGGGGGAGGGGGGGGGCAGTCATGAGGTCAACATTTCACTCAAAAAATACAGATCACTATGTACAGTGATGTGAAAAAGTGTTTGTCCCTTCCAAATGTCTTATTTCTACATGTTTGTCACACTTCAATGTTTCAGATCAAATATTAGACAAATATAACAAGTAAACAGAAAATGCAGTTTTTAAATGAAGATCTTTATCATCAAGGGAAAATCAATCCAAACCTACAGGGCCCTGTGGTTTATCATGACCTCTTTCTCTGGCCACACCCATCCTGACTACTGCCACACCTGTTCTCAATCAAGAAACCACTTAAATAAAGACCTGCTGACAAAGTGAAGTCGACCAAAAGATCCAGAAAAACTCAACTCATGTTGAAATCCAGAGAAAGTCAGGAACTAGTCAGAAACAAAGTAACAAATGCATTTCTAAAGCTTTGGGACTCCAGAGAACCACAGTGAGGACCACTGTCCACAAATGACAAAAGCATGGAACAGCAGTGAACCTTCCCAGGAGTGCAGTGCTGACTCATCAAGACCTGCAGGCCTCACTGGCTCAGTTAAGGTCAGTGTTCATCCACCAGAAGAAAGATTCTGGTCAGAAATGGATCACATGGCAGAGCTCCAAGATGAAAACTACTATTGAGCAAAAAGAAGATAAAGGCTGGTCTCAGTTCTGCCAGGAAACATCTGGATGATCTACAGATCTGTTGGACATCTTGTGCGGATCCAGAGACAACAGCTGGACTTCTTGAAGGTGGAAGTCACGGTACATCTGGTGCAGAAGGAAGATCTCAGAACAGGAACATCACACCAAGAGTAAAACGTGGTGGTGGTAGTGTGATGGTCTGGGGCTGTTCTGCAGCTTCAGGACTTGGAAGACTTGATGTGGTAAATGGAACGAAAGTTACAAATGTAACTACAGTTCTATGAATCCCGGATGACGTGCTTAAAGCACTGAATGATCATTCTTGCACATGCGCAGGTCAAGTATCTTATGCCAATATAGTCACGAGTGACTCCGGTGACACCGGCGATCCTATGTAGTCACATGACAACCGTAGCTAAGTACCCTTAGACTGTGTGTCCTGTGACAGGACGTCCTTCCTGGGGGGGGCATTGGAAAGCTGCAACAGAGCCTGTGCAACACTGGAAACCAGGTCCTCCTGGGCCAGAAGGGGGCCACTAGGAGAACTTGATGCCCCTCTTGAAGGACTCAGGACTCAGGAGTGTTGGGGCTATCAGGGGAAGTGGTGGAAAAGCATGAAGGAGCGCTTTGGGCCAATCGTGTGCCAGTGCATCCTGACCCAGGGGGCTGGTCCTGTCCACTAGAAAGAACCAAAGTGGGCAATGTGTTGTCCCTTGGGAGGCGAACAGGTCAACAGTTGCCCTGCTGTACCTCTGCCAAATGTCCTCCACTACTTGCAGATAGAGCCTCCACTCCCCTGGAGGTGGGCGCTCCCGGGACAGAAAGTCGGCTAGCCCATTCTGCACACCTGGAATGTGGGCTGCCCTGAGGCTGGCAAAGCAGGGGTCCATCCAGATTAAGTCTCTGGGTCAGCTAAAACAGCATCAGCGACCTTGTCCCTCCCTGATAATTGATATAAAAAACAACTGAGGTGTTGTCTGAACATACCAGGACATGCTTGCCACGTAGGCCTGGGAGGAAGTGCTTCAGTGCTAGCAGCACAGCTTCCAACTCCAAAGAGTTGATATGCCTTTCCCTCTGCCTCCGAAATCATGTCCCCTGGATGGTCTGTTGCTGCCACGATGCCCCCCATCCTGTGGGGGATGCATCTGTATAAACGACCTCTCTCCGAGATGGTAGAGAGCCTAGTGGAACCCCTTGTGCCATGCTACGTCCCGCCATTGAGCCACTTACAGAAGGCACTGAGGGGACACCCGCAACCTCCTGTGTCAGTGTGCTAAACAAGTCAGATTCAGTCGCAGATTGTTTATCCACATCTGTAGGGGGCACAGTGACAACAGACCTAGGGGAACCACTGTAGATGCAGCAGTTAACCTGCCCAACAGGCAGAGGTAAGCAACAAGAGGTGGTGAATGGCCAGGCAGGAAGGTGGGTAGTGTTTGCAGAATCCCACTGACGCGCTGTGGCGATGGGCAAGCAGTCATCGTGAGGGAGTTCAACACGATGCTGAGAAAAGTGACCTCCTGAGACGGAACAACGTAGCTTTTCACCCAGTTCATGCAGTGTACACTCACCGGCCACTTTATTAGGTACAACTGTCCAACTGCTCGTTAACACTTAATTTCTAATCAGCCAATCACATGGCGGCATCTCAGTGCATTTAGGCATGTAGACATGGTCAAGACAATCTCCTGCAGTTCAAACCGGGTCAAGACAATCTCCTGCAGTTCAAACCGG